ACCCCTATTGACCCCCATTTCATCTCTCTCAGTTCCCACCCCACCCTTTCGTATGCTCACCTAAGCTGATTGCCGTCTTAAAATATTCGGGCGATACACAACGCTTGCTTTTGCCCTGGAGTGTATCTGACATGGAAAAACTGCTGCCACGATCACGCACCGAGGGGCATGGACAGGATTCCGGCGGGGGCGCGACAACAGGCGCGGTGATAAAAACATTGCCACGCGACGACTGCGCCAAATGGCTGGAGATGCCCAGCATCAGAGGCAACGTGGTGGTGCTCAGTGCACCATTCGATTGCAACTTTAGCTGCTGTTCGTGCAGCAGCTGCTGATCCTGCTGCTGTTGCCACTGATATTGCAGATGGAAGACCGTTTGCCAGAACCGCTTCATCTCGCCGAACGTCAGCTTGTAGGCCAATTTGTAGCGCAAGTCGCGGACATCCTCCTCCGTTAGGGCAAGCAGCACCTGCCCGTCGAATTCCTCGGAACGCAAGCACAAGCGCATCTCTTGCGAGAACTGCTCCAGACAGCTCCACTGCTGCACCTGCTCCACCTTCCAATCAGCTAGCGACTTAATCTGCAGGCTTTTATTCAGGTATTTCAATTCGTTGAAAGGAACTTCCGTTTGGGCTTCAGCACTTGCGACTTTTGCAGTCACCGGTGAAGTTTGCACCGCCTGCTGAGTCACAGACTCGCAACAAATTTCACCGTCAACATCGCACATTGTTTAGCTTTCTTTTCCCTCTCTCTCTCTATCTATATTCTTTTTTATTTTATGTTTTTTTTTAAGGGAGATTCAATAGGTCTGGTTAGCTTTGTCGAGTAGGTATCGCGAGTACTGCATTGTTAGCTCTGGCAGGTGCTGATCACGGTTTGAATATTCAGCGACACATAATATTGTTTAAGAAATCACACGTTTAATTTTAACTTGCTCTCAAAATTCCAGCGACTGCTTGTTTTTCTTTTTTCTTAGTGACTGTTAACAGAACCATGTTAGCTGCAAAGCGATGCTGTTAACAATTTTCTGCAGCCAACTTTACGTGTCTCTATTCTGCGCACAGCCAACATTCAGTAGAATGTGGAATCAACAAGCAAGTGACACTAAAATGCGCGCAAATTGGCTTTTGAAATTATTTAATTACTTTTTGGTAAATAAAAAAACTTTTCTATTTCTTACTTACTTTGTCGCGTATATACTGCTTTAATACAGTCCACATCAAGTGTCACAAATGTGCGCAGCCAACTTCACGTTGCTGTTATTCAACAAATCTACAAAAATGTGCGCCAAAATAGATTTTGAAATATATTTTAGTTTCATTCGAAGAAATCAAATATAACTAAATTAAAAACCAACTTTTCATTTCCTCAATTCATCGCTGTTTTTTATTTTAATATAAAAATGGCATTTCTTTACTAATATTAAGTTTAAATTACTAATGTAAAGTATGTATGATCGCGGCAATTGAAAAATATATATGTGTGTGTATATCAAGTGAAAAATATTTATAATGAACATGAAACGTCTCAAGCAAGTGTACATATACATATGTATGTACGAAAGCGTGTTCAAGTTTTACTTAACTTATAAATTTTCCATTTTCTTATTGTTTAACATTTTTAAAGTAAATTAAAGTTTGCAAACGAATTTAATAAAATTTTGTCTACGTTTTCATTACTTTGCGAAATGTACATCAAAGGAAGAAACAGATTAACAAAGAAAAAAAAACAAACGATTTGTATATAAAATTATTTATCGTTCTTTTATACAGTTTGCTGTTTCACTCGCTTAGGAAAATGATTATGCAAAAATAAACTATGAAAAAGTTATTTCATGAGTAGTTCTTATCCTTTTCTTTTTTTAGTTTTGTCATCTCCTTTCTCATTGCTATTTTGAAATACAATATAGTTTTGATACCTTTTACAATTATGCCTTATATGCTATGTACCTAACATATATATTCTTTTTTTTTTGCGTTTTAGTTTTCTTTTTGCTTTATATATGTACGAAGCTACTGTTGAGGTTTCATTGAATTGTGTTTATTTTTATATTTTGTTGTTAGATGTGTTTGTTGCACCATTTGCAATGTGTTTACTTTTAGTTATTCTTGTTTCATACATACTATATAGATATTTGTCATTTTTATTTAGAATTCTCGTTATGTGAAAACGTAAATGTAACAAGTTATTTTCTTTTGTTTGCTGTTTGTTTTGCGTTTTAAGCTTTAAAGTATTACTTCCCTTTTGTTGTTGATGTTCCAATACAATCTTTTGTTTTGCTTCATTTTTTATATATATATATGTTAATCTAGTTTTAAACTATAACTCTTTTTATATTTCAAAATATATAATAAACACAATGCAGTTTTTATAAATTTTTTTTTTTTTTTTTCTTTAAATGAGGGCTTCTATGTTGTTTTTTATCTTCTAGCATTTGCTGTTGCTACTGCCGTAGTGAGAATTTGGGCTGCCTTACGACAAATCTGAAAATATAATATATTCAAGTTACTATTATATAGTCGAGTTTAACATATAGGATATATGACTTACAGCTGGGCGCTGCCTCGTAACGACGCTGGATCTGATCGTATGTGAATTTGACAAACGCATCATATTGCTCAGCCAATTTGGTGGTCAGCACCGATTCGTAACGTTCGCGCAGTTGATCCTCTCGCTCCTTGATCATGCCCTCGCATATTAGCTGCACCTGTTTGAATGTGAACAATGCTTTCTCTCCATGATGGCGCATCATCAGGTGACTCGGCGGACTATCCGGCCGATGCGGACTCTCCGGTCCCATTTCAGAGCCGCTCGATTCCGAGTCCTGCATCCGCTCTAGGGCACTGGATGAAATCGGCAATTGTTTGCGTTTGTGCAGTCTTTTAATTTCATTGCACAAATTCTCAGCCATTTTGTCTGAAAGAGGTTGGGATATTATGTTAATCATAGAACAATTGAGATTCATATTGAAGAAAATACTCACCTGGCGACATCTTAGATAAGGCAGACTCGGAGAATGGACTTGGCTCATTGCTGTCCTTCGCAAAGCGATTGCTGGGCGTTGTCGAACTGCCGCTGCTGCTAGCTGCATCATTATTGTTGCTGTTGCCGTTACGCGATGGCGAATTACTGCCAGATTGTCCAAAAGGATTGCAGCGACGACGTTTCGTGGGACGCTGATTCAGCGACTCCCAATCCAAGGCGCGTTTAAGTGTTGCACATGCCATAGCTGTTAACTCTTTATATATATATATATGTGTATAAATATATTTTTAAATTTATATATATATATATATTATATATATATATAATTGCTTAATATATTTTTATATTTATTAAATATATTTTTGTTGTTTTTATTGCCACACAGGTTTGTTGTAGGAAGCGTTCGCTGTAAATGAGAACAAGATGACAAACGGAAACATTAGACTAGAGAAGCGGCCAACTGAGGCGAAATGAAATTCGAAATTTGAAACTGGTTTCAAGGAAAACAGGATTCACCTGACACACACACACACACACAGATACACACCACCGTAGACACACATGCACGCACAGTGAATAAAAGAAAATGGTGCAGCGATTTATGAGCTGGCAGCTGCTGCCTGCCTGCGAATAGAGCATTAAAAAGAAAACGGAGTAGCGATGCGCAATTAAAGGGAGTGTTCGCTACAAGCCACAGGCCACAGGCCGACAACAACAACTTTCCAACACTACTTCTACAACAACAATAACAATGCGTGCATAGCAATGCAAGGAGCTCAAAAGAGCAAAGAAAATTAAACTATAAACTGAGCTACGAGTCAACCACCACCAGCACACAGTCTCACACAAACAAACAGTTTCTCACGCATCACGCACAAGTACAACAACAATATCGCTTATGCGTATCCTTTAAGCTGTACCAGCTGTTTTTACAAAGCAACGCTCTGGGACACTGCTACTACTACCCCACACACATGCATGCATGCACGCACGCACATATTATAGCTGCTAATGAACTCAAATCGCATGTGTATGTGTATGTGCTTGTGCGATTTGCCTGCTGTCGTCATTTACAGTATTTTAAAGATTTTTTAATAATAAATGATTAGTGCTTTTTTACGTGACGAACGCCATGCCAAAACGACAAAAAAAAAAGATTCGTTTTAAAGAAAATAAAATGACAGCAGCTTATGCTCCCACTGGTTGTCTCGCTCTCGCGCACTGTCACACACACTTGCAGCTGTGAGTTGGAATTTTGATTTCGTGAAATTTTAAAAAATGGTCGCAACGCATATCATTATCAAAAGCACTTTAGATACTAATTAATGACACATATAATAATTGGCTTTTGCATTTGCTCACACCCAAACGCACTTACATTGATTTATAGTTGCTTCCGCTACAATTTCTGCACCACTTCACACGCGTTTTATTTACTTTTTTTGTACATACGCGCACGAACGTTTCCCAGTTGCAGTTGAATTGTAAAACTAATTTATATTGCTATTGCTTATTGGGTTGAGCAGTATTTTAAAGGCCACTGAAATGCACTGTGCTACGGTTTCAAAGTTCTTATAATAGTTATGATTTGTGAAATTTCTGTCTTTTTGCGATGTAATTTTCAGTTTTTTGTCGAACTCTTACGAAAAATGGACGACCGATGCATGCGTGACGACGATTCGTGAACAGAGAGGCGAGCCTTGCGATGGAAAAACGATAATTTCCACACCATTATCACAAATGCAGCCCTGTCATCGACGCCATAACTTAAGCTTGGTACGCAGCTTTTGGGTATGAAAAATAACATATTTGAAAATCGGAAGATATAGGATATATGGAGTGATTAAATATCTATATGTAGAACTCGTCCACAATGAATGTTTTTAATATATAAAATTATTCTATTAAATATTTAATTTGATTGTAAGCAATTTTCGAATATTAATAAGCAAAATGGGTAAATTTCAAGTCAGTATTTTTTGTTTTACAATATGCATTTTCAGTCTACATTAGTAGGGTAACACTGTTTCGAACGACAAAAGTAGACATAAAAAGGCAGAGTTCGATGTGAATTTGTGCAATTAATATTATTAAATATTTTTACACTTTTATAGTAAACAATTTTTTATTCGCTTGTGCAACGAATTTACAGCATTTGTCAGCAATCAGCCCAGTGCGTGTGTATTATAATAAATTAAATTACGTATCGACGGTAGGGGCTAAAAGCAGGCAAATCATAAAGCAGAGAGCAGAGCAAAGAAAGTTCTAAAAATATTTTTGATCGTCGTGAAAGTCGCATATTTTATAAAGCTTTAAATTAAAGACCAAATCAGCGCATACTTAATTGCAAAAATGGTATTGAAAGTGTACGTCAGCGGCATGTCCGGCAACAAGGAGGTGAGTATTTAAGTTTCCTTGTGGGCGGGGCAGCTGAAAAGCAAGCACACATTATGACAAATGCACATAGATATATGTACATACGTATGTATGTGTGTGTGTGTGTGCGTGCGTATTTATATGTGTGATTGAATAGTAGGAGTCAGTGTCATGTTAATGGAATGCTTGCCTAGCAGTGTGATAGACAAAATAAAAAAGAAATACCGCAATGCATATTCTATTTTATGCACTGCACATCTCTCGTTTGTTTGCGATTGAGAGTGCGTGCATGAGAGTGAGCGATGATATAGTATGTGTGTATGTATGTACGTACAGTCGAAACGTCATCTCTCTAGCGTTCGCCCTCTTCGAACAGCAAGTGGGTATTTTGATTGGCGTATGCAAGTGTGCGTACGTTTTGATGGTGGTGGCAAGAAGCAGCACAATGACCGCAAACATTTCCATATATGTAAGCTTATTTTATTGTTTGTATGTGTACTGTGAAGCGTAGAAGAATTCATTGATTACAGTTTTTCGTATATGTATGTATGTATGTATATTTGCGTGGGTACGGCTTTGTTAGTATGTATGTGTGTGCATGATTCATGTATTTGACTTTTTTTGCTCGCCTCATCTTTGTGCTAAAACAACGGCCATTGTGCAAAAAAAAAACAACGGGAGTGTTCCTGGGTGCGAGTGAGAGCGAAACTTTATACATACTTATGCCGTTGTTTATTGTTTGCAGACTTAAGACGGGTCAGCGCCACAAATACATACATATGTATGTATGTAAATATTATAAAAACATTTGTATGGGTGTGTGAGTGAGGAGACAATAAATAAAAACAACGGTTTATCAAAAATTAATTACAAGGCAGCAGAGATAAGTGTTTTGAAGTGAGAGTGAGAGATAGTGTGTGTGTGTGTGTGTGTGTGTGTGTGTGTGTGTGTGTGTGTGTGTGTGTGTGTG